AACACTGGAAGTAGGTTTAGATTCATTGTAATGATCCCGCAAACTGCTGACCTATTCACATGTTATGACGGATTTGAACACTGTATGCCAGGAATGGTGACCAGAGGATATCTTCTGCTGGATACAATCAGAATTGGGATTGGACTCTGTTGGAAAGTGGAGGCCATCCTTAGGTCTTTCTGAGGACCAAGGTTTCAAGGTTTTGTGCACCTTTCGGTTTTGTACATACTGAGCGTTTGTTTTTTTCGTCATTTTGGTTGTCCTTTCCGACTAAAACTACGGCTTCTGGAAAGATGCAACTTCTTTCAGGCCATTTGGTGGTTACCAAAAGCAAAATTTCATGAAGATGTCTTCTGTGACTCGGGGACTATATTAGTATGATTACGTTGAAAAAACAAAATATTTTGAAGTTCTTATTAAGCTAAACTTAACTCTGATTGCGGATAACCTGTGGGACACTCTGTGCCTCATATATGCCCTAAGGAAACACCAAAAGTCAACAGGGGAACTAGACCTGAGCTGTGTCAAAGACAGCCGCCCAGTTTTTGCATATTGGATGCGATCAGTCCCAGTGAAACTTAACTACGAGGGCACTTATCCCTCTTTCACTAGTGCCGACAACGTTGTCAGGGTCCGTTCCACGGTTGTTTTACCGAATGTTCAGTGGCGGACTTTACCTCCATATTCATCTGGGTATGTGACCTTTATTTATGCGACGAACTACTACTGACCCGAGTAAAAGCCCCACGCTTTATGTGACTGAAACCGATTAGACCTTCCGTATACATTGGCTGTTTTTGGAACGTTTGTGTGGAGCTTTTTTATGGTGGTATCTTGATGCGAGTAAAAACACCCCAGTACTGAGGATGTTCATGCATCTGAAATGTTCCCCACTACACTCCCACAGTACTCTTCAGGGAGGATTTCACTTATGGCTAGAAAAATTAAGTACATAGCGGGTAGGCCAAAAACGAATTCTCGTTGACGTGCCCCACATAAGACACTTATTGTCGTTTCTGAATGTTGTCTTTAATGAGAACCGGTCTGAGCTGTTATATGTATCAGTGCTGCTTAGGAAACAAGCATGATCCTCAGGATACTTGACATGCAGTTCATGGTTGCATGAGGCGTATTGTAAATTTTCTTTAGGGTGTATCGGAATAGTTGTAATCTTTTCATATATTTATATCATTAGTCGGCATCCAAAAGAGATATGCTGGATAGCAGTATTCGATCCACTCGATGTCATGCTAAAGTAGTTATGCAGCACGCTATACATACCTGTGCATATGAATATATAAAGAGGGAAATAGTGGACAAAAATCCATCAACGTTGAAGTGAGATGCTGCAGTTGAAGTTCTTTGGGTGAAGTGGAAGGTGAATACGACCTTTGTCTCGAATACAATGAATCCAAACAATCAAATTTATAAGATGCTGTTAACAGCATTGAAAAAAACTCTGACTGCTCACCAGAAGGGATTTAATCTCATCAGATTTGGTGGTACCCTGTGAATTTCAGCTCAGAACAACTTTTCAGTTCACGTTGTATTCTCATTCAGCCGTCTTTGAACTTCGACAAGAGTAGAGGTGAATTGAAGATGGGCGATTTTTAGGGACTTGAATACGAACCCGAAAATCAATGTGTGTCATGTGTGGTTTTGTGAAACACTTAAGCTACTAAGCACGAATTTACATTCATGGAATTCCACCTTGGCCGGTATCCATCATTGTAATAAGGTAAAGTATTTTGAAAAGCCTGAAGATAAAGGGGGAGATATTGCCACGATAACCATAAATCACTTTTGGCACTCCAATATGTGCTTAAATTATGTACGCATCACCTAAAGTGCTACTAAAAACGTCCTAAAAAGAGCTAAGGTAGAAGCAACAAATCTGATAGTGAGTAATTCAGCCTTGTGTTCTACGAAATACTTGTGCAACTACTATGTATTCAGAAGCTGAAGTTGGTAGAACATGAACGTACGTTGTTGTTGGTCATCAATCATGACCTAATACATAAACGTTTGAATTATCAAGCAATTTTCAGTATTTTTGCTAGAAGCTACATATTTAACTTTTAGTTTACCCAGAAACCCATGAATGGTATAGGCTTTCTTCTCTGTACCACACAGACATTTACACCCAACGGACAAATGCCATGCGCCAACATACAAGGTGCACTAGCGATAAGGCAACAGGTCGAAGTGGGTGTGTTACTTCATGATGAGTGGCTCCACATTTCGACGGTTCAATCCAGAAAATCATTTGCAAAGTTTCTACGTGGAGAAATTGCCATATAGTTCTCTAACACCATCATACCTTTTGCCAACTGGAGTTCAGAGAATTCAGTGAGCTCCCCACATCCCGCAGCAAATATTTAAAAGTCGCTGATTTTTCCTCCAAACATTTCTGGGAGATTCAAACATCTAAAAACGCCATGTGAAACATATTGATTTGTTACCCTGTACTCCTGAATGTTGGTCATCCATGAGTCAAATATGGAAAGTCTAAGTGCAACTTACTTGGCCGAATGGCTAGGTGTTAAAACTTCTAGCCGGAAGGTCGCGGGTTCGAAACCCAATAAAGTTTCGAGAAATCTGCACTGTTGTTCATTCCCAACAAGGGTAAGAGCTTTTTCGTATAGACTGGCTTCACCTGCAGAAATAAATCACTATGAAAATATAAAATAACAAGGTTTCGATCGGCCAGGAATTTACAGTGAGGCGGTAAAATTTTTAGGGTTGATCAGTAGTCTGTATCTTTGAGAGGATGCAGCTGAAAGTACTTCTCATTAGATAGTATCGGTGAGAGCTGATCATGAGAATTACGAATAATAAGTCGTTTTTCCTAATAATGCGGTTTATTTTTAAAAGCCTAGATTAAAAACCAATCTATTTTTCCAATGTCTCCGTTCTACTTTAATTCTGTCATGTCCGTGTTTTGCTATAAGCTCGAAATGCTAGAGGGGCGACTGGTCCATAATGTCTCAAAATTACTTGCGGTGAACCTACGGTGCATATGACGTTTTGCTTGTGTCACAACTAACTGATTTCCACCTCTGAGTCTTCAAAGATCTTCTACGTGATCCAGTATTTTGCCATCTTTTTAGCCCATGATATCGTTGACTAAACTCGGTGATAAAAATAATTATTATTGCTAAAGTCTTCTTCAAAAGCTAGAAACTCTTCCACCGTTGTGAACAGTTGAACACGCTTCATGTCGCTTTTTCCGCCTTGGCAGAATTGTCGCACAGCAAATGGCATTCAGACTCGTTTTCTGTGCTCCGTTCTGAAAGTTAAAATGATTTATTGAACGTTCTATTGAGATGCTAAATGTGTGAATCCAAACAACCGATAAACCACACTTGCTCGTTCGAAATTGCTGCTCCGAGTAAACTTGTTGGGTCAGTGCAACGGAGCCTATCTACTGCGCATGTAATTGGTTCACCAAATACTCCTAGTAAGTTAGACTTTAGGTGATTCGTGGTGTAACCTGACTGAGGTTATCCTTCCTGAACAGTGTAACTTTAGTATTTCTAGGCGCAAAGTGGAGCAAATAAGCCCGATGAAAACAGTTATTTCACTTTGTAGACGCTTTGCACCTTCAAATTTCCGTGTACGCAACTTGTTACCCACATAAGTGAACCTTAGTCGTTTCGCAAATGAGAATTGTGCCCCAACAAATGAAAACCTCCCCAGAATTACCTACTTACTGTCCACAGCGGCTCTCTAATCCTCTGTCAAGTGCATTGAAAGTTGATGTCTGTTAGTGCCATCATAGCGTGACCAAGAGACGTCGGTGATAAATGATAAAAGTGTGAAGTCTGAGTTTATGCAGCAGGAGACACACGTGCAGATGGAGTCGAAAGGGTGAGGAGTGCCCCAATAGCCAATATCCCAAGATTGGTAGGCTAATTTCTAAAAAACTTAGAGAAAACAATTTTCAATTTACCTCTGGCTTAGCTGTTAGAGGAATGGCTGCTTCACCTTCGACTTGTTAAATAACCAGCACACTGGGAATAGGCACAATGCAATTAGTGAAGAGTCTATTCTTTTGACTTTGGGAGAACAGAAAAATAGTTTATAGACAGTGAATGTAATTTACATGAACCCTACGCAGTTGCATGCGTGGTCGACGTTTCGGAAAACCACCCTGCTTGCATATCCCATGGCTGTAGCAGGTTTAGTGATTTGTTGCAGTTGATTCATTCGAAAAGAAAAAGTTTTTGAATGCCTGCGGAAGCTAAGCAATCAAAAAATGAAAAAAACCCATCGTGTTTGTACAAGAAACTTGTTTACCCTGCTCTTCTTCCAGGTATGCTTACGGAACCCGGGGAACCAAGTGATTTGTACGAATTGAAAGAAACTCTCGGATCTGGGTGAGCGACAAATTATGAATTTATCGATTTTTTTTATTCCACTTCCAAGTACTTTGCTTCTGCTCATAGTATGTCCAGTTTGATTCGTTAGAATTATTTTGCCGCAACAACATGCTAGGTAAAGATGTTTGACTTTCGAAACCTGTGGCTGGAAAATTTTTCATAAATTAGGGCTAGAAGATGCTAGTTCACACCATAAGTTGGAGATAAGAACAAATACTACTTTTCATTTGTCCCAGTGGTGGGTTTCAGCCAACAAACTTTTGGTTCTAGTGGGTAGGGAATGTGCTGTCGAAGGTGACTTACATCAATGAAGTGGAGTGATGAATCAGTCTCCGAATAAATGTATCGAATGGAAGACAGATACCTGGGCTCGTGAACAACTGAAGTGTTTTTGAAAGTTTTCCCCTAGATGTCATTGCTTATTATTTATTAGGTTTCCGACATTATATACGATTAACTTGGCAAAACGTGACCACTTGAAGACCTTCGGTGAATTTCCAACCACACCAACCTCTCTCTCCACATGCAAGCTACATTTGACGTGATGCCTACCTTGTCGTCTAGCCAAATCGTGCCCCAAACCTAGAGGACACAATGCATCAAATCAATTGCTGTTAGACAAATTTGCTGTCCTCCTTGTACGCACTCAGAAGCGCAAGCAATAGTCAAATGGCCAAACGGCATTTGTGAAACAGTACACAATAAGCTGTGTTGGGTCTCCTTAAATTATGGCTCACAAAGCTTTTCTACTGCTAAATATGGGTTTTTCCCTGGAGTTGCTGTAGAAAACTTCTTATAAAAAACCACCATCTCGCACGGAACTCTAAAAAAGGTAATCCCCGAAAAATGCAAATGCAATCCGCTTCGTTTATTTTCGAGAATTTACTCTGGGTGACTGCGCCAAATTTTTGCCTAGGCGAGTGGTTTATCAGAGCTAATTTACTCTTTACTTATAAATTTGCACGCGCGTCAAACGTTTGGAATGATTTCTTCTTATCATTAGATTCAAGTAGTAGAGCACTCGGTAAAGGCTACTGCCACATAGTCATCTTGCAACTATACTAGGTTGCTTCTGACTTATCCGTTCCTAACGACAAGCAGTTTGTTTTTGAAGACTTTGACAACGGCGCACCGTTAAGTAATGACAGTGCTAATGCGATACTCATTAACGCGACTGGCGACGAGTGCTTTGCAGCCTAAGCCTACTGAAAGCCTTCCACTTTCTCTCATACATTGACCTGCTCCGCTGAACCAACGCGAACGAAAATTTTAGACCAAAGAGTAGTCCTTTGATAGGCGAAAGCATATTCGATGGATATTCGCCTACAGGTTAGAGTTATAAGAGACCTGAAAATAAAGGCGGATTCAAAACGTCACCACCGAATAACTTTGTTACGTAAGATCTCGCGCTGGACCAACCAATGCATAGCCATTCACGTTTGTATGTTTGCGGAAAGAATCTTAACGCTGTCTAGCCTCGTAAATGAGATATTCACCCGAGTCTCCGGTGAAAACCAAATTGACATGCAAATGAATCTGTTTGTCGTAAATTTTCTCCAGTTTACATGAAGCAGGTGTGACGAATGTGTGACCTTGAAGACTGTGGTAAATAACATAGGTATGGCAACAGTAGCTTCCATGCATGACAAACTACATACGTGAATTGCGTTGCCGATGCTAGCCGTACATCAGGTGACTCCGACTTGCACTTTAATGAAGGCCTTTAGATGGCTTACCTACAAGACAACTGGCGTGATACCTACAAAGGTGATGTGTGGTTCATTCTTCCAGATAAATAAGTAATATAATGAACTGGTGGACTTATAAAAATATATGCAGGCCATTACTCCCGTTCTTAGATGTACCTGGCACACCAATCTACTGTAGTTTTCTGCTCCGAATTGATATCTCTCTTGAACGATACTAGAAAAGATCACCATAAAAGTATTTCTGAAGTAGTTTGGATATGCTCTCGTTACATTTGGTCTATAGGAAGACCACACAGCTTCCTTGGTCCGTCCGAATTGAGATCTCTCTTGAACGATACTAGAAAAGATCACCATAAAAGTATTTCTGAAGTAGTTTGGATATGCTCTCGTTACATTTGGTCTATAGGAAGACCACACAGCTTCCTTGGTCCGGTGTCTAATGCAGTTGAGATGGCGTTTAAAACCCTATTCATTTACTCAGCAATCTCAGGAATCAGAAACACTGTGCAAGCTAAGGGGATAACAGGAGTGTCCTTCAAGAAGAAACACGATGTGCCCAACAAAAACATTGCAGTTTCAAATAAAATACTCGTAATTTAGATAGCAGCTCATATTCTCCGACGAGCGCGGGTATCTGGAATCACCTAGATTTGAGCACTGAAAAACTTGTTCGTCAGACTAATGTTGTGGTCTAACAGGTACTGATGTGAGTTACCTTTGAGTTAACTACATACATAATTGCATACATATCATTATCCCCCTCAACCCGTAATGTTTGAGACCAGTAGATAAATGGGATTTACTTATAGCTAGTCTGATTGGACATATGTTGAATTGTTTAAGACAATTTCTTGTGTGCATCGGTGTCCAAATGGTTTGGTGATGTCGTTGGTTCGTTATCCCACATACTATGTTGGATGAGAGCGAATTCATTTGGCAGGGTGTACGACCACACTGAGAAGGCATTTTTTCTCTACACACAAGACCAAAAGTCGAAAACTCATTTTGCCCGATATGTTGGACTAGGTTCTCCGATGGGTATGAAAATTTTCATGATAATTTCAATGAGTGAGATGGGACTGTTCATCGGTTACCTTCCCAATGAGATTGTGAGGTGTGCAGGGGATTTCAGTAAACCAGTGAGCAAGTGAGTCAGCTGGCCTATCCAGTTATCAGGCACTATTTACAGACATTGTTTTGTTCACCTAAGGCGGTAATGCACCTATGCTAATAGCCTAACAGTTTTTCAGAGGACAGCATCCTGAATACTTTGGAGTTTTCCGCCAATTGACCACGGTGTACCATGTGCCATTCAGCGTATCTGACGAGGTGCTATGCAGACCTTAATGTCACACATGCCATTGTCAACATTCTTTTCCTATGCGTGTTCCAAGCTGTTCTACCTGATTAAGCTGATGACCCTGACAAATTATTGGTCACCCTGGACGGCAAGACGTAAGATCCACCAGGATACTTGCAACTGACACATCGTCCACATTCTGATAAACTGTCACCCGAATCGTCCTAGTGTGATATCTTGATGTTTTGATACCTGGACGCCTAAACATTTAGGCCATCTTAGGTCATTCAAACCCATCTGTGCTGACTGTGGAGACCGTGAAACTACGTTGGTCAGCGGCCTACCTGGGTAATTTGGAACGGAGTGCACGAAAGCAAAGTTTCTGGCAACCGGAGTCCACACGAAGCCCGTGAAAAAAGTCAGCGAGAGTAATTTGCATTATTCGGCCTCCACAATTTTTCTCGGCGCCACCTTTGAGGTCACAATGCATACTTAGACGGTCTTTTCTTAAGCCAATATCCTAAAACATAATGCCAAGAAACTGGCGCGAGATTCCCCTGATTTTTTAGATATGCTTAAGAGTTTTCGAGAAATGCAATCATTTGCAGATCAATTTGGTTTTCACGGGAGACTCAAGTTCAACTAGATCATAAGGTTGACGGAAACTCGGGGACTGCGCCTGACTGATGAGCTCCAAGAAGGGCGAAACCGGTCGTGGGCTGTCGAAGGGTTTTCAGCAACCTTGTGAGTAGTTTCCTTTTTGCTTAAGAGTTGTTTGAGTAAAGGTGTTATAAATTCATCGGTCCACTAACTGTCTCCCTGATGTCGCACAACTTACCTACAATGACTTATCTTTGACCACTGCTTGGTGAACAATAGTTTCAGTAACATTAACGAATAGAGACTGTGGTGTTCATCGCTTACATAGATTCCATATAATGATTGCTTTTTTCATTTGAAATTTTAAACTTTGTGTGCATTGTTGCTTCAGATTTGTCAGAGGAGTATCGTTTTCATCCTTGAGCAGAACCTCGAACAAGGTTCGGCTGATTGACAGTTTGTGGATTCATTAATATTCTTAAGAGCCACTCTTGGTGGGATATAGACAGAGAAATAGCTTGTGGTCATGGCAGAGCGATTAACAAGCATGTGAAGGAGGCGATGCTTTACCAGCGGCAAGAAATGTTTTAGGACAAAGTTAATTTGCTTTATCCATGACAGTGCGATGCCTGTCAAGCAGTAATCTCAGTGTTTTTGTTCGAAATCTTGGGATATATTACATAAAGGCTGCCTAACGTATATATTTCACTTGTATATTGCTATTTAGCGCATCAGGAATAGTATGTCGTGCACTGGAGAGAAAAACCAGCCAGGAAGTGGCAATCAAAATTCTGCAATTAGCCAGACAAACACAACCGGAGATGGTCGTGACCGAAATCGAAGTGCTCAGAGCGTTGAAACACGAGAATATTGTAAACTACCTCGGCAGCTTTCTACGGCGTCCACTGGACCAGCTATGGGTTGTCATGGAATACCTAGACGGTGGATGTCTTGCAGATTTTGTGACAGAGTTCAAGATGGAGAGCCGCATGATCGCCGCGGTGACAAAAGAGTGCACAAAAGGATTGGCGTATTTGCACGATAGAAACATTATACACAGGTAAGCAGCATATCATGGTTCAGCCGTTGCCCATGCAATTATGCACTCTTTTCGAGAGCCATAGAAGTGGAGTTTCTTCTCTGTTTAATAGAAACTCCATCGCTTCCAGACTTCTTCAATAAAGCACACTAACCCGACTAGAGCTAATGTTCTGAGTATTGAAGAACTATTAATGTTTACAACAAGGACACACTAGTTCATCTATACTGTGATAAAGAGCCTCAATTACTCTCAGATTTATTGTCACAAGAGTGGTTGGTTACGTAACGCACTCTCCAGTCTTCACAAAATAAAGTGGACTGTGAAAAATACGTTCATGTGGAATACGCCAGTTGGTTCAAAAAAGTTCTTGGTGAAAACTCGGTTATTATTTATTGTAAGTTCACGCAACGCGAAGTCCGAATACACCTAATGTAAACGAACGTACAACGTCCTAGTTGACAACACCCAATTGTGCATCTAGAATCAACGCGCGGTTTTCCACACGCAGTTCAAAGAATTTACAAGTCGTATCAATCAGTGCCGTTGATGTTCTTATGTGACTTCCACAGAGAGCCGGGCTGTGGAGTCTAGTTACCCAACACATTACAGTAAAACGATATACCGTAATGGCTGATCTGGAAATCTTTAAATTTGAGGCCCAATTGCGCTTTACGTGAATACAACTAACATAACATCCACAAAGGTTATTTTTCAGGTCGCCTAATAAATGTCGTTTATAAAGAATGCTCCGTGAATAACCCTTTAAGCTTCAAAAGTTTTGGGTGTGGCGGTGAAAACGCAGTAAGTAGATCGAGTTGAGAGTTTTTAAGAGCCAATCGGATGTGGAAACTTCGTCTAGCTTTCTGATGGGTCAAACTAAATTTCATTTGATATTTCGGTTATTGATAGAAACCAATTTATGCTGAGTAGTTGGTAAGCCTTGGACAGCTTAGTGGGAATCATCAGCAGTTTGAGTCGCACAAACTTCAGAGAGTTTTGAACTCGCGAACTTCGTCCAGCGGTTGGACACTTATTCGCGAGGGGCTTATTAGCAGTGTGATTAACTTACCCTTAGACAGGATACAGCACAACTCATCCTTCAGTAATTAAAAACCGCATCGCCTTGTCCCGTTTTAACTGGCTTCTCAAATGATGACTTCTCAGGTGGGAGCTTCCCTCATTCTGTGAAAATATCCTTCCTCTGAGCCATATATAGATTGATGGTGGTGCGAGGAGATTTGGATGAAATCTCGATTGGAAATTACAAGTCTCCCGAATCATCCCAAATCTCTTGAACAACCTGTAAAGAGCTCAGAAAGAAGGGTAACTCGCACTACGAGTGAACACTCCGTCCGAGAATTAGTCACTGGAAAAGCTAGTAAACAACGCTTGGTGTGGGCTTCGTGGTCTGTAAAGCGATACGATTATGTCCCGTCTAAGCGTGAATTACGCACTGTAGATCAGTCAAACATTTAACTTCTCACGCTACTAGCCTGGATGTTCGTGGGTTTGAAACGCCCTAGAGTTCCGTGGGATCGACTCTGTTGATCATTTCCAATAAGGGTCAACAATACTTCTTGGACTTTTTAGCGTAGGTTGACTTCATTTACAATGCGAAAGCTCAGTTGCGAACAGGTTCGAGGCCTTTCGTGTTTCAGACAATATTCCGCTTCTTTTGGTTATTTTTAAGCAGTTTTTCGGTTTTACCATTATCGGTCCACGACGGTAATAAATTATTTCGCAAGTAACTTAGTCTTAGGTGACCGCAATCCGTGAAAACGCATCGACAATTTGGAACCAGCTACAACAGACTGCTTACCGATAAATCCGTAAGGAGAACTGTAAACACTTACCGGTTCTCACGTACCTACAGCCCACGATAACTCTACACGGCTTGCTATTCCAACAGATTTGTTGGAACAAGAACGTGTTCAGTGCTTAACTGTGGGAACATGCAGTGTGACGCTATTAATTTTTTTCCCCAGAGATGCGACAAGGTTTGCAGTTTTTGTCCCCTTCACACTTATACTTTTCAGAAATTCATCGTACTATATTCCTTCCGAAAAGCAGTCAGAACTATTCTTTCTGTTCTCACTCGGCACGGTTTGAACTGACGAATTAAACCTAAAAATACTGACTAGTTGGAAAGCCGTACAGTGGTTTTGAACAGAACATGAGTTTCAATCAACCATCCGGCGTCACATGACTGGTAAATCTAGTCGCTACCGAAGTTCTGACAATTTGTCGATCCAAACATTCTCACCAAACAATACAGAGAGCTGAATCAACCGAATAGCGTAAACCGGGTGTTGACACTTTGCACGTGCGGACCGATTTCAATCTGCTCGCTACTTCAGAACACTCAACTGCCTTGTTTTATAGGCGAAATGCTACCTCAATGGGAAGTAATCTCAGGTCCTTTAAGTGTGGCATTTGCTGTCGGTATGTATGTCAGTTCGAATAAACCGAAATTCACGTTCCTGAATGACATTGTGTATTAACTCTGTGGCACTTACAAGTTCGTTGGTCTGTTCATCGAGCTTGGCGCCTGGCTGAGAGATATTTCTTCACTAATCGAGAGGGTATCACCAGTGCTCGGCTGAGCGGATTCGAAAACCATTTGATCAACAAAAGTTTCATATACGGCATGATGGTGGACTTTATTCCATGAGTCCTCCCCTTGGGAGGTTTTATCTTACATTTCATCAGGAACATAATCTGCGACATTTGTTCATACAGAACACATAAGCAACTGAGAAGAAAACTCCCTCTTACTGCACTCTTTTAATAAAGCCTTTGTTTTACCGCTGACTTACCCTTTAAACATACTACGCAAGCACTAGTGAAACCCAAATATGTCTCGAAAAAACAACTCAACAAAGAGCAAACTTTTGACAAAAATAATGCAGTATATTTGTCTGATAAACTCAAAAATATTTGCGGAGAGGAACTTGGTCATGCTTTATCATCAGTGACATTTGAGAGCCGATTGAATTCAGATGGTCAATAGCTGGAACAAGAACACAAATCGGTATTTTGAACAAGGTTCTTCTAATCGGCAACGGTTGCTTGAGCTCGTAGGTAACAGTGACATTTTGGGTGCGGTAGCAGATCTAAATATGGTGATGCATCCACAAGTCCACAAACTTGTCCGCGGAATAACGTAGGTTTTAACGTTATCGAAGACGTAAAATACATTTCTGTGAACTGTCAATTGGTTCCCGTGATTCCGGGGGACGTGCACTATACGAATACACAAATGACTTGTCTGGTTTTCGTGATACTTGCTCTCTTTCCCGTTCGCCTTTTGCAGAGACGTTAAATCAGATAACATCATGCTTGGTAGAAGAGGAAATGTGAAAATCACAGATTTTGGATTTTGTGCACAATTGGCCAATCCGTTTGGAAGAAGGAATTCAGTTGTCGGTACGCCTTACTGGATGGCTCCAGAAGTGGCAAATCAAGATACCTACGGGACAAAAATTGATGTATGGTCCCTTGGTATCATGGTTATTGAGATGGTCGATGGTGACCCACCTTATTCGGGAATGCAACCACTACAGGTATGTAGAAGTGTCATTCGGTCCATCCAGACCAGAAGCGAAAATTCACTTGAGGTCCGGATATGGATTCACTCTTTTCAAGCTCTACTGCCATTCCATGTTTTGCAAAGTATGCTAACTGTTACGTTGTGATAGGCTCTGACCAGCCATAAACTTGTTTGAAAGTTCCTCAACCCACACTTATACCACACACGAGTAAACAAAAAGATATCAGAACAATCAGGGGTTCTGAAACTGTGACCAGTTGTAATAATTGCTTATTATGCTTACTGAAAAGTGAAGAAAATTATTCCTATTGAAACAGAGAAGGTTTACTACAGGACATCTCGGATGACAAGAAATCTCCGAGACTAAACCAAGACAATACACTGTGCATATACGTCTCGCACAACATGAAGTGTTACCTATACGTGTACATTAAAGCCACATAATAGGATAACAGTTATGACAGTTTGAAACGTCCTACTCACATTCCTTCAAAAAAACTTTAGGGGATCCGGAAAGTAAAGCGGAAACGTATTACTGAATGGTTTACTGGAAGTGTTACAGAGGCGTAGTTAACTAAGATGTTCACACTCACCTGAGTTACAGTGATCTCACAATAATTATCCGTATGTTGGTTTTTGATTCAACCATAACAGCATCTACCACAAAGCTCTACTCATTTTTCGGGTAAAAATCAAAGCCGGTTGTTGAGCCCCTCTTAAAATAATGCACTCACTTTTCTACCGACTTAGTTTCAACAGCACACTCACCTGAAACTCTGTTGAATTTCTTGTTTATGATGTTCTTCAGATGGATTTTGGGTGACTCTCCCGTGAAAAGGAAATTGGCATTCACATGATGCATTTATCGATTAACCATTTAGGTTTTTAAAAAAATTGGCGAAAATTTATTATTAGATCAGCAAAGAATAACTAGTACATCTATTTAGAGGAAAGCAAGTAATCTGTCTGCCTAACGTAGTAGTGTGATACTGATGAAAGCTTACGGTAGGGACATATTCAAAGTCACTGTGGATGTGAAAATTAGAGATGGTCTTGCTCAGGTTCCAATCCTTCACTGTTCTCCTTCAGGTAAAGCAACGTAATAGATATATTCCTAAGGGTGTTGCAGGTAACCAGCCACAGATTAATGGGGAAGTAACCTGCATAAGTAAGAACTGCAGTGACCAGCTCTCATCAAGCTCTGAGGATTATTCACGTGAACGAGGCATTTCGTAGTACAATTTAGCTACGAAAACAACCTCAACACCAACGTAGCAGTTTTCATTTCTTTTATAAAATTACTTTTCTTTCAAAAGGGGTGTACCTGTTCAGTTCAAAGAAACGCTTTCAGGGCACTGAATTGAGAATGAGCCCATGGTAAAATTTATTTCCTTGAAAAAGTTTTGTAGGATGATTCTAAACAAAGGTTGCTCAGGTACAATAAAGGCTAATGAATTGTTCACCACATGTATGGAGACTGTACTGATGATCTTACTCTAGCCACCACTGCCAGAGACCTTGGCTGAAAACTTTAATCGTCCTCTCGGCCATGTTCCGGTGCCCTGACTGTATCCCGCCCATATGCAAACACGAATCGCACGGCTACAAATAGCCTTCTGCCACAGCGGCCGTCGCTTTGTGCCATAAGCTATTTGCCTTACTTGTTGACAGAGTGATTACTTAAAAACGCCTATGCTGAGACCTCCCTTCTTCCTCTCCTATATGTTTGTTCTTCTCACCTCACCCCGTTGCTAGCAGTAGCTTCGCAAGCCCTTCCCTAAGGATTGTAATATCAATCCGCCGCTGTTATATGTAATATCTACGCCTAACTCTGCTGCCACAGTCGCAGGTACTTCAAAACACAGGTACTTCAAACACAAATGCTCAGTTCACCCGACAGACTTTGGGACAACGAATTGTCCTGGCATGTATGCTAGACTCACTTTCTATTGATGATGTTTTCTCTATGAGACGAGGGTTTAAGACCCAGATATGGTAGTTGAATTTACTCCCGTCTGATTTTCTTTTGCTTCGCACGTGTGGTTCTGATGAAGTTGGCAGTCTTCTAGACCTCTGAGCTCAAATCTGGCTAGTTGAATGGTCACCCGTTGATTGTCACGTTTGTGTGGTTCGTTTGGCAGCTTCTGCGAGAGTCTCCAGTAAACATGCTGATAATCTCTGCCGGTTCATCTCATCTGCACACGCACCCAGCAGACTACACCTGCGATAGACTCAACGACAACCTCCACGACGTTTTGAGTGCCTTGTCGCGGCAAGCTTAGACCTCTGATAGTATTGTGGTTGTCGGGGATATGAATGCGCAACAGGGTAGAATTAGAGCTGTAGAGGCTCAATTGGGTGTTCGTCTTGGAACGGAACTGATGCTCCCGGGCAGGGGTGAACGCCTGCTGAATTCATGTGCTCACATCAGACTATTTCTATGTAAGACTAACTTCCGAAGCAACCGAAACTACTCAGCCACATGGTGCTCCCCAAATGCGAGTCAACCTCAAACATGGATAGACCACATCGCCACTAGTCACGGGTGGTGGGGGTCAATTACTGATCGTTGATTGTTCTGGAACACCTCCATGAATTTGGGTCATGCAACTTTTTCGTTGTGGATTTCCTTGCAGCCCTTCAGATGTGCGCACTGTGCACATCGCTCGATTATCCGTTGCGTGGCTTTCAGACCCTTATATGAAAAAAGCCCATGAGTCCATTCTGGACGACACTTCTCGCGATGTCGACTGTTACTGGAAGCCACTGTGCCAACTCTACACGAAACCGCATGCTCCAGTTTATGGATGGACAACCATGTTGATGTTAGCAAGAAACCTCGAGAAACACTAAAATTCCTCGAAGTTCCGACATGTATCCCTGTTTCTCAAGAGGATGACAAAACTATAATAACTGTCAAAAACTTAAGCTTCAGCGCGGATCATGAAGCTTAGTGGACCCAGAAGGCTGAAGAGACAAAGGTGCCAAGAACTTCTGGGAATGAGCTCAAACTGTCCTATTTTGTCGGTGCAAAAGGTCCAACGAAGCCGCCAAGGAGCAAACAACCCAAAAAAGAATAACATCTAAATGAATAGCTACACTGGCTCAGCCGAATTCACGACCCATTACGCAGCCCAAGACAGTGAACTTGCAACCCCAGATGACCTCGGAAACAAAGAACTCCCATCCGCTCTGCACAGTCGTTGCTTGTCTGGTCGGCTTGCCTTTGTCTGAGAGGAGACTGTCCTAGCTAACTGCGAGAAGTCAACAGTCGTGCCCATTTCCAAAAAGGCTGCTGTCACCGGGTGTGGCGGTCACAGAGTATTCAGCTTGACCTCCGTTGTGACCACACTTTTAGTCCTCTATTGCACGAAGGCGAGTGAAGGCGACGCCATAGAAGAGCAACCAGGATTCCGACCGAAAAACGTCTTTGTCAAGTGTTGAGGTAACGGTATACCGTACAATCTTGATTTGAGTTCAAACATACATCAAATAAGGTCAATCTATTTGTTAGTTTCAACACACATGCGCAAATCGCTGTGCCACGGAAGTTCTTGAATTGCATGCGCTGGTAATGGTTACATAACTTTGGGTGCACGAGAGCATATATGGAGGTCAGCAAGGGCTTTCCCACAAGCAGTGGCGTTCGGCGATTATGCCCGCTGTCCCCCTTTTTAATTTAGTTACTGATGATGCGATGAGGCGAACGCTGGAAAGTCTCAAAACCGTGTACCACTCTAGACGAAAGCATTAGTGACCACGAATATGCAAGCAGCATGTTTCTAACCATTTAAAATTGCGGGAGGCGCAAGCACTACCATAAAACCCGACCAAGGTCGTCCGGTCCTTCATTCTGCGGTGCTTCAAACCCACTAAATATAAATTTGTGCCCCGAGAAGTACAGCTTTACATATATTTCTAGAAATTCAAGGAGATACACTGGAAGTTGAGCAGCGTCATACATGTCAAAAGTTACATTAGGTCTAACAATAATGCAGCAGACAAAGACAATGCGTGAATCTAAAAGGCTGGGATCAATTTGCCAGCAACCGCCATCTGTGGCATTATACAGCACATTATTGAGTCCCAAAGCACGCTGGGATTGGGTTGTAATTGGAACTGCATTGCTGTACGGCCACAAGACTGGTCCATTTCGGGTGGACGATGTGAGAGTCCATCGGATCTTTGACCACCCACATCTCACAACTTCGGATGGAGTCGGCTTGTGTCAGTGAAATGGACAATAAAGTTATCGTGAAAAAAGTTTTCGGGGAAGCAGAGAGTCCTTCCCCCCAAGGACTGGTCCAAAATTATAGGATAAGTGATTGGATCATGTGCTGAGCGTGCCGATTTATAGTCTGTCAAGAAGATCGTTGTTTTTCGCGCCTGATTTGAAGTGGCGAGAACTGAGTGGTGGACTAAGCAAGAAAATGAATCTTCCGAGAGACTTTGTGTCCTGTTGATGTCGTTCGCTTTCCAGGATGAATCGACGTGTCTGTACTTGACTTTGGATTTTAAAAAAAGAAGAAGGCTAACCGAAGTCACTGATGTCCAAGCTATCAGTTTATATCCAGATTAACCGAATTGGAATTATATATATATATATATAT